AACTATATTATTTTACTAATGATCTCCTGCCAGTTAACTGCTAGAGCGCTGGGAAGATCAATGACTTACTATTTATACTTGGGCCAGGTTAACCCTTGAATAGCTTCCCTGAAGGAAGCTCCCATTTGTTACCATTCTGCATGTTTGCCCTGGCTAGCACTGCTCTGCCAGAGGGAAGGACCAAAGAACTTAGAGCTGGAAGGGACCTTCAGAGATAATCTAGTCCATCCCTGCCCCCCCCACCCAGTTTTACTGGTGAGGAAACTGCCCGAGGGAGGGTATGTGACTTGGCCAAGGTCACACAGCCAGCTGGAGAGAAGCAACAGCCCCACACTCTGGGTCCATTCCAATCTTGGATGACTGGGATTTCATCTCTTCTTTAAGGATACCATCAAGGTTCCTATTGTTTCCTTCCAGGTATCCAGGATGGGGGAGGAAACAGGGAAGCCCTTGGGAAAAGAAAGTCTCCTTCTATCTCCTTCTAGCCAATCACTGCAGCAGGGCAGAGGGGCTAGTGGGGCACCAGGATCCCTGGCTAGTCTTCTAGGAAGGCTTCCCGGAGGGGAACTGGAGCTGAATATGCAAGCCACCTAAAGCATCTTCTGCTCCTCCCCCAAACACAGGAAGCCAGATTGTGTATAACTGATGGGAGACGCAGCATGGAACAGAAATCAGAGGGAGGCAGGCATGAAAGGTTGGGTCCCTCACTTTCCTTCCAGAGGCCCAGGGATCTCTCCCTCCCCCCACCCCAAAGCCTCCCCTGCATGGGCTCATTGACTCCTGAGCATCTAGGTAAGACCAGAAGAGCAGGAAGGCAGCAGGATTCTGGGGGAAAAGATGTGGAATTGTCAGAATTCCTTCAAGTCCTAATATGGGAGGGGGGAGGGAAGGGGGGAATCTGTTTACAAATTCCTGCCTCTGTTGAGTTGGGAAACTTGACTGTTACCATCTCTCTGGTTTCATCAAAGACTAGGGACTCTATTTTTGCACTCACATGCTCAGATTAGACCGAGGCAAACATCCCCCCCCCCAAGCCTCTTGGGATTAATTGAATTTTCTTAATGGGAAGCATGGGGGGGGTAACTAGTAGTGAGACTGGGAGAGGTGGGGGAAGGTTCAAGAGAGAGAGGAAGGGGGAGGGGGAGAGAGGGAAGAGAAGAAAAGAGAGGGAGGAGAGAAAAGAGAAGTGGGAATTAAGAGAAGAAAAGGGAAAGGATGGAGGGGAAGGGGGAAAAGAGGAAGGGGGAGAGACAGATAATACTAATAGCTAAGATTTATATACAGCTTTAAGGTTTAAAAAATATCTTTACAGATATTCCTTTTTTTGAGAGAGGGAGGGAGGGAGAGAACCATTTTTGAAGCCAGTGAATTTGTGTTCTAATACTGGCTTTGCTTGGGCAAGGTATTTAACTTTGCTGCAACTCACTTTACTCCTCAGTACCTATACCTATAACCCCTTAGGGCTATGACCCTCCCCCCTCCCCCCACATACACATTCTAAATGCTCCTATCCCTGGGAAGCTGGGTTATCCCTGAGGAAGGGATAGGCACAACAACCTTCCTGGACCCAAAGCAGCAGTCATTCTCTCTGTCTCTCTCCTCCCCTTCCTCCTCTGTCCTCTTCCTCTTCCTCCTCCTTCTTCCCACCCCACCCCCACTCTGTGGAGAGGGGGCAGTCAGACAGCCAGTTCTTGGAGGCTGCCTTTGGCAGGATGCTGGTGCCCCTCATCTCTCCTGCACCTCTGCAAGGTGAACCCATTCCATCTGGGTGATTCACCAGGCTTTGGGGCAAGACATACTATCTCCCCTTATTGAGGAGCAGGGACGGATAGGGAAAGGGACTGTTGGTTTTGCCTTGATGGTTGCTTTGAGTTTTCCTCTTTTCTCAGAAAATCCCCAATAAACAGATGTGACTAGCTGGGCTAGGAGCAGGTGTTAGGGGGCTGGGCTGGGTGAGGATGGGTTGAAGCGGCTAGGGAGAAGAAAGGGTCTAGTAAGGGCTCAAGATCACAGGCCCCAGGTCATAGAGCCAGCTCTAGGTATCTCCAAGACCATGTGGCCAACCCCGCCTCCCCCCCAGGCCATGGTACTGAGGAGGAGACAGAGGCCAGGGACTGGGAAGTGCCTTGCCCCATATCCTGAAGGCTGCAGAGGGGAGATTGAATTCCTCCAAAGGTGGAGCCCGCACCCCTTCCCTTACACCATTTGAAGGGACCTTAGCGATCTCTTGGTCCTGCCCCCATGCTGTATGGAAAAGCAGCAGAATCTGGATTTGAACTCAGGTCTCTGATTCCAGATTCATTGGTTTTTCACCTTCTCCCTACCTCCCTGCCCCCCCCACCGGCTTGTTTGAATAGACTGACAGAAAGAAAACCAATCTGGAGGGACAAGAAGAGCTGAAGACATGAGAAGAACAGGAGAGATGAATCTCTCAGTATCTTTATAGAACTAAGAAATCATATTGAATACCCGAGTCCTGAGTTCCAAACAAACAGGAAAGTCAGGATCTAACATCTGAGGCCAGGACCTTAGAGAGAATCAACTGAGGGGATCTTTACCTTTTACCTGTCCTGGACCTCCCTCTGCAGTCTAGGGAAGGCTCAGAAACGTTTTTAAATGCATAAAATAAAATACATAAAATTACAAAGGAAACCAACTATATTGAAATATTTATTTATTAAATTCACAGACCCCAGGTGAAGAATTTTTAATCTATTCCAACCTCCTCTTGAACAGAAGAAGATACAGTGGTCCATAGCGACAGAGTTCTTCCCCAACCCTACCAGCTAAATGCATGCCTGGGCTTTAGGACCAAATTGCCCATAGTCTGTTATCAGTTAGCATTGTCTTCCACTGCCAACGACGCAGTGTTAGTGGTGGTGACAGAAGCCCCTTGCCCACAGGCTTCCCTGCGCCATCCTGCTGCCAGGGCATAGGGAGAAAGGCTCACACTTAGAACAACTAACCCTTGTTTCCTAGAAAGGGATTTCTGAGTTTGGGAGGACCCATTTAAATACATTCTTGGGCAGATCCTTTAAGGGCTATGGGGGGTGAAACTAGAGGAGGGCAAGGGCCGGAAGGTACCCCCAAGACTGAACTAAGTCCTCAGGGCACTCTGATAATAGAATCAGAGATGACCAGGAGCTGGAAGGGACCCCAAGGGCCTGTCAGGCACAAGGGGTTTTGTAAATCCTAAAGTGCTTCGCAAATGTAAGTTATTGTTATATAAGTCCCCCCCCTCCCAATTGGGGCACGTTCCCTCCACTTGCTCCCTTCCCTGTTTCCCCCAGGGTAAAATGGGGGAAGAGGAATAGAAGATGCGGCCTCTAAGGTTCCTGGCAGCCCTCAGTGCGCGAATGGTAGACTATCTCCTCGGCACATGAGCACAAGCACACACGTGCGTGTACACACACACACACACACACACACACACACACAGAGTTGTTCCCTGGCTTTCTCTGCCCTAGGACCTTCTCCCAGATGCTCCCAGGGAGCCGCCGTCAGTTCCCAGGGCACAGGGTGGAGAGAACTTCACCCGGGGCAGACCCCGGAGGCTTCGGACTGCCCGCAGGGTTGGGCCAGGCAGGTAGCCAGGTAAGAGGCTTAAGCAGTAAAATGCCAGGTTCTCAAACGCATTCCCTCCCTTCCCTTTCCCCTGGGGATTTGTCTCAACTTGATTAAAACGCCTCCGACAAGGAAACCCTCTTTTCTTCATCCTCTTCCTCCTCCTCCTCCTCCTTCCCCAAGACTTGCGTTTTCTCCCCGGGGCCAGAGGGACCACCGCGATGGTCGCTGGTCTCTTTGAAGCCCAGAAAAAGACAAGGTTCCCGCCCAACCATCCTCCAGGTAACTCGCCCATGCAAAGAGAACAATCTCAACCCATCATCTGCTCGAGTCTGCACCAACCCCCCCCCCCATCTCACGTCTATCGCCCGGTCGGTTTTTAGCAGGAGCTCTCCCACCCCGGCTGCCTTTGACCTTGCCAGAAAGGGCTGCTCTCGCTGGGCATCAAGGAACCTCCCCGGATCCGAAGCCCAAATGACCTTGCAGCTAGGTGTCGGGCGGGAGAGCGGGCAGCGCATTTCGGGAGGCGAGCCCACAACAACAAGGCGGGCGGGCGGCGAGCCCACAACACTTCACCAGGCGGCCAGGTAACCCCTAGGGCTCTCCGAGGCGCTCGCCTCTGCGGCTGCCCCCCCCACCCCGTCCGAGCCCGCAGCTTCCGCGACCCCCGCGCCGCAGCCTGCTCCTGACAAAGCCACACAGCAGACCCTCAGGCATCACGCGCGCGAGCCCCCAGAAACCCCCCGCCCCGGTCATCTGGGAGGGCTGGTGAAGGATGAGCGGCCAGAGCCGAATGCTCCCTCCCTCCCGGGCGATCCCTGACAGCCAGCCCCGGAATCCGCTCCTCCTCCCCCCGCCCCTGCTGTCTGGCCCATTCCGGTTCGCTTGGCGGACCCCGGGGTCAGCAGCTCAGCCACCAGAACTCGGGCAAGCACAAGCCGTCCGCCCCATCGAGGGCTCGCTAGTTCTCCTAGCCCCCGGGAAACTTGGCCGATCCCTAATTCGGGGGATCCAACGTGCGGAAGAAATGGGGCTATTAATAAACGGGCTACAAAGGCATCCCGAGATCTCGCCTACGACAACCCCCTCCCTAAAAGGTGCAGCCCCCCCTTTTCTCCTCCCCAATTGTCTGAGGTCCCTCACTGCCTCCTCCTCCTCTCGCCTTGACTCCCAGACGGACCCTGCAGTAGTAAACACCCCCCCCATCCCTTCTGCTCCAGGTGGGCTTTCCAAATCGATCCTCCAGCCTCCTAACCCCGGGGTGATGAGGCGGAAAGCCTCACACTCCCGCCCCCGCCCCAGCCTGGGCTAGCCAGGCTGCGCAGAACCGCACATGCAGAAACGCACCCCGGAGGAGGAAGAAAAGGAGGAGAAGGAGGACGAAGGAAGGAAGGAAGGAAGGAAAGGAGGAAGGCTAGCTCGCTCCGGGCACTTACTGGTGGGAGCGCTGGGAACGCACGGACTGCCACTCGATGCAAATAAAAGCACTCCGCAGCTCGAGGTTTGGCGGCTTCAAAGCGATCTCTGTGATTCGAAAGATGGTGCGTGCGTCCGCCCGCCCGTTTGTCCGTGCGCCGGTCCCGCCGCCTGTCTGTCCGTCCCGGGCTCAGCTAGCTCTCTGCAGCAGCAGCAGCAGCGGCAGCCGCTTCAGTCCCCCTCGGCGCGCGCCTCTCCGGCCCCGCCGCCACCGCCGCAGCACGCGCCCGCGCCCGCGCGCCCGCTCCCGCTCCGGCTAGGGCTCGCGCTCAGGCTCTGCAGCGGCTCGGTTCCGAGACACCACTGACAGGCTGAGCTGGGCGCAGTGCGCAGGCGCACCAGCCTCAGCCTCCGCCCCCGCCCCGCCCCCTCTGCAGCCGAGCGCACCTGCGCACCCAGAGCGGGAAGAGGCCTCCGGCGCTGCTGCCGCGCCGCCAGCTCGTGACCCAGCCCCGCCCGCCGAAAAAGCAGGGCCCCGCTGGGGCCGCCAGGGGTCGCTGCTGCGTCGGCTCCCGGGCCGCTTTCCCTTCCGAAACAAGGGTTCAAATCTCGCTGCTGAAGCTTTGGGAAGGTCACAGGACCTCTCTGGGCCTCAGCTTCGTCCTCTGTAAAAAAAGAAAGTTGGATTAGAGCAGCAGTTCTGAGCCCTTTTTATGCCTTGGCCTTCTTGGAAGCCCCCATAATAAATGATGCTGTGAAATGCCTGGAAGAAAGGACATAGGAAGGCAAAGGATGTAGTCAGTATATGAAGGGGTCCATGGATGGATCGCTGTCCACTCCTCTCTGGAGTAGGTGGCCTCTAATCGGCCTTAGAACTCTAAACCTATGACCCGGCACAAGTCGAGTGGCCCGGGCCTCAGTTTCCTCTTTTGTAAGATGAAGGTGTTTGAATAAATGATGTACTGAGACTTCTAATCATTCAATTCAAGTCAACTAGTTTGCTGGGGCAGTGGATAGAGCTTTGGGTCTGGAGGCAGAAGACTGAGTTCAAATCTAGCTTCAAATACTTCCTAGCAGTGAGGGTAGGCAAGTCACATAAAGTGAGGATCACAATAGTCTCTCTCTCCTAGCACTATGAGGGTCAAAGAAGAGAATGAATACAATATTGTGAAATCCAAGGTCTCGTGGGAGGATGGGCACCAGCAGTGGATCTGTGATTCCAGAGTCCTGTGAAATCAGCCTCTGTGGGATTCATTTTCCTCCTTCAAACACTGGGATTGAGGCCTCTGGCTCTTTCCCTTTCCTCTCCACCTTATTTTATCCTTCAGGTTCTGGCCCTAACTCAGTCAGTCAACAAGCATCGATTAAGTACCTCCTAGCCTCCTACTCACCACATGATATCTAAAGTGCTAGATTACAGCCAGCCCCCTGTCTGGGACTCCGTTTTTCTTTTGGGAAAGGGGATGAATCACATTTGTACTCCTAGATCTTTAGTGCTGAAAGACACCCCAGATGTCATCTAGTCCAGTTGCCTCACTTTATAGAAAGATTAGCTTAGGTCCACAAAGGTTAAGTGCCCAAGGGTCAGAAGTTGGCATCTGAACCCAGGTCCAGAGCCCATGCTCTTTTTTACTATACTACCCAACTCACAAGGTTGCGAGAAAATGTTTTGTTAATCCCAAGTGTTGTAGAAATATAAGGAGCTCTTATCAGGGATGATGATGATGATGATGATGATGATGATGATGATGATGATTGTGATGGGGGTAATGGTGGTGATGATTGTGATGATGATTGTGATGGTGGTGGAGGTGATGATGATGATGATAATGGTGGTGGTGGTGATGGTGATGATGTTGGTGGTTATGGTGGTGATGGTGATGATGGTGGTGATGCAGTGATGATGATTGTGATGGTGGTGGTGGTGATGATAATGGTGAGGGTGATGGTGGTGATGATGATGATGGTGGTGATGGTGGTGATGATGATGATGGTGGGTTGGTGGTTAGAGATTAACATCTACCCCTTCAGGGATCCCTTACACCTCTGGGTATGCCAAGCTGCCAACCAAGGGCAGAGCTAGAACCTACCCAGGCTGTCCATTCCATGACCTTGAGGGGAAAGATGGTGCCAGAGGCACAGGACTTGGAGTCAATAAATCCTGCATTTAAGTCCTGCCTCTGATGCTTATTTGACCCTGGGCAAGTCATTCAACTTTTCTGAGCCCCTATTTCCTCATACTTAAGAAACTCCTGCTATTGGTTGACAATGACTGTGCTGGGCTCCTGGCTCTGTTCATAACTCCCCAGCTGGGAGCTTCCTGGGTTTAGAGGTCTGTGGTCTACCTCTCCCCTTTTACAGATAAGGAAATGGAGGTCCAAAGTTAGCAAGTGACAAACTCAAGCTCAAAGAGCTTGGATTTTCACTGAAGATTTGACTGTCTTTGTGGTCACTCCACCCAGTTCTGGGTTTCATGATTCTCAGATCATGGGATCTTAGATCTGGACTTGGTATGGACCTTGGAGATCATCTAGCCCAATGCCCTCATTTGATATGGAAGTAATGTGTCCTTGAATACCCCTCAACCCCAATGAGTGTAATTAGCAAGATGTTCTGCACTCTGATAACTTTGTCAGGGGAGGACATTTGTTTGAGTTACAGACTCAATCAAAGGTGTAAAATAGGTGTGAACAGCTCCTAGACATCTCTTATCAGTCATTCTAGTCCACAAAGCACAAGTATAAACGAAGGAAAGCAGAAGATGCCACACAGGGAACATTTTGGTTGGAAACAATCAGTCCCACCCTAGGGAGCTGGTTCAGAACCTATCATTTCAGTCACAGGCAGGCCTCGTGGTGAAGGAGCTCCAGCTTTGACCCTGAAAAAAGGAACTGTGTGACCTCTTTGCCACATATGATCTCTTAGCTTGAGCGCATCCTCCACAAGGACCTTTCAGTATACAAGGGGAGAGTGTGTCACAGATTTGGGAGTGGGAATGTTTTGTACCAACTGTTGTTACTACTCTTGTTAACACGTGCTCATGTTTGTCCTTTGTCTTCAAAGATGGCCAATGACATCATGGGGGAGGTCTTAACTTGCCTGTGAATTGGATTTAAGTGAGGCAGAGGTTGCACAAATCAGCTTCACTCTCTCTTCCAGAGTCACCAAAATCAGTGACAGGCCAAGTGGTGATGGCCGAGGATGCAGTGGTGACCTTGGCATCTTTGCTGTCTGACCAAGCTCTAAGTACCCCACAGCATCTGCTTCAGCGGGCTTCATGGCTGTTGGAACAAATTGTTCTCATCCACCCATTCCACCAGGGGAAGTCTTCACATGCTTGGGGTAGACATCCCCTAACTCACAGACAGAATTGAGGCCCGTCTGTTATACGCAACCCGGTTTAGCCCATGGTTTTACCAGGGTGTGGCTGCTGCACCTGCTACCGCTTCCTGGAGCCCCAGGTGAGAGTTGGGGACTAGGTGGACAAGGTGGATGAGCTGAAAAAGGCTCAGCAGCCCTCACCCCAGAGGAGCTAGTCCTTCTTGAACACCCATACACCTGCTAATAAAAGCAAATTAAAACTCTGGTTCACTCATTGATTATTCAGTGGAGAGCACAGAGATGAGAGCTCATGAACAATGACATTAGAATCTTCAACTCCTCAGGGTTACCCCTAGCACCTTAAGATTGCCCCAGTGACTCGATCTGCCCATGCCATTGACAAAGTGGAAAATAGCCCCGGGAGACTTCTTTGGATGGAGAAGTGGGGAGAGGGGAAATTCACCTCGAGGTTTCAGGGAAATTGGAAAGGGCAGTGCCCTTCATCCTGCCAGGCCCGCCCCTGGTGGAGTGGGTGGGAATGATGAAGAGCCAGGCCTCTCTCAAGGAACTTCTGTACACTATGACATGTTTGCCCCTCGGGAGCTTGGGGATGCTCGTTCTCCTTTCCTTTCTTCAGTTTCTCCCATGCTGTCCTGGGGCTCTGTTAACTGTGGGAACCTGGCATTGAGCAGTGCAGCCCAGTGCCTCAGAGAGCACATTTAGGTAGTAGGGGCCCTGCTGAGGAGAGTGGGCAGTTGCCAGGGAAGGTGCCCAAGTGTGATATGGCCCATGGCAGGGGGAGGTTTGGGAGCAGGCAAGGTTTGAGATGGGAACCATCCTAGGGAGGAGGCAGCTTGGCATCTTTAAACAGGGCTTTGTTTCAGCTTTCTTTTTTCTTTTTTAAAGTCACCTAGAGTGTACAACAAGGCAGTTGCATGATTTATTTTTAATTTTCTTGGTCAGATGAAGCCTGGCCTGAGGCCACTTGGGAATCGAGCCTCCCAAGGCAGAGGGTGTTCTGGGAGGGATGAGCTGGGCGGGCAGGGGCTGTGCCTCCTCTGGGATTTGCCAGGGCTACAGGCCTATTCTGAAAAGAAGTGCTCTCTGAACTGGAGCATGATGGGCAGGCACTTCTCCCAGACTTTCAGGGGTGGTTGTTGTTGTTGAGCCATGTCTAATTCTCTGTGACCCCATTTGGAATGGTTTGTCATTTCTGTCTCCAGCCCATTTTATAGATAAGGAAACTGAGGCAAACAGGGTTAAGTGACTAGCCCAGGGTCATGAGGCTAGTAAATGTCTGAGGCCAGATTTGAACTCATGGAGTCTTTGTGACTCCATGCCCAGCACTTTGTCCTCTGTGCCACCTAGCTGCCCCTCAGACCTGAGCAGTCAGAGGCCAGCTGGGTCAGCCATGCCTGCTCAGGAGGAAGGAACATCACAGCCAGCCGGGAGCTGTCCTGCAGGGGAAGCCCTGGCTCAGGTTGCCTCCTAACAGCTCAGAGATGGGCTGAAAGCTCTGTCCTTGAGAGAAATCCAGCAGTTAGGTAAGCTAGCCTCACACCAAGGCCCTGAAGGCATTGGTCAACTTGAGCAGGAACTTATGGGATATTGGAGCATTGGGGGCTGGAAGAGGCTTGGGGGTCATTCGGATGAGGAAACTGAAGCTCAGAGAAGGGAAATGATGGGCCTGACCATGACCATCTGGTAGTAAATGTTAAGGCTGGGCTTCCAGGCCAGAGCATGGGACTCCCAATCCAATAGTCTTTCCTATTATGACAAGGGGGATATTTTAGATGGGGAGAATGTGGGGGCAGGGGGAAGATTTGGCTGAGCAGTAGATAACTAATTACCCTAAAGGGCAGCTACAAATGGATGGCCTTTACTCAGCATCAAGTGTCCAAGTGGAAGAACTCATGGTCCAATGGGG